CCCCCCCCATTCAGACAAGTACATCTAGACATTGATATTGTTCCAACAAAACCCTGCACCCTTTATTCAGACTAATCTTTCAAATGTTGCCTTGTGCGTAAATTTTTACATATTTTTACATGTTCTACACAATTAAGAGACTGAAATGATCGGAACACTTCAACGAAAGAAATAAAACGTAAAAATTCGTCCTGAAATTGGGAAAACGGAATACAGTCCATTATTTTTTTATATATTTTTTTCCTTTTTGAATTTTTTTTTTAATCTCTTCATTGCTCGTACTTGTGATTCTATTCTGAAAATGTTGTAGAATATAAAAAAATGTATAAATGTATTTGAAGAACAAAACAGCTAATTTTAAATGAAAAAGATATAATAGAATATTTCCGGGCTGTCTCAAAAGACCAGACAATATTTTTCTGTGGTAATTTTCAAGTTTTCGAGTTTGGAAAGTATACAGTACCAATTCCCAGACGAGAAATCATGAGAAACAGTACGCAAAAATGGTTTGTATGATCTGTTGGATTGGTTTTGCATAGCTTACATTAATTTCGTGATAAACTTATCTAAAGCCATTTTTATATGTTAATAAATGCGTCTTACTTTCTACCTATTCTGTCTTCTCCTGAAACATGAAAATTCTTTGCAGGTGGACATTGACTGGGAGACAAGCCAGCACACATCCATGTCCTTCTGCCCAGGCCATTATGCGACAATCGAACGTTTCCTCACTTGTGCTCTTTGCAAACGGCGCTTGGTGCGCAATCATACTCACCTTCTGCCGGCCACCGAAGCTGATGAATTAAATCGTCTTCTTCCTCAGCAGGGTATCCCCGTTCTGCTTGTATCCGGTACGTTCGTTTGCAAGCTCTGTCGTTACTACACTCAGCTGCAACTAAAATACAAAGACGTGGAAAACATGAACGTCAGTCACCGATCTTTTGCAAAAAGCTACCGAAAACGCATTCTCTACAATAACAATCTTGACATTGAAGATGATGAAGATGAGCCAGCTCAAAATTATCAATCCAAGGATAGTAAAGATAAGGATAAGGACAAAGATAAGGAAAAAGACAGAGAGAAGGAGAAGGACAAGGACAAAGACAAAGATAAAGATCGGAAATCCGCAAAGAAATCAGCAAAGTATCATAATCCATTACCCAAAAGCCATATATCAAAATCTCCAGACTGTAACTCTTCAGAAAAATCTACTCCGGAGCCTCCAAAACCTGACAGTTTGGGAGAGCCTAAGCTCAGAGAATCTGACCCAAGAATTGATGAAACTTCATCAATAACCGAACAAATGTTAGATTTGGAAAGCGCAGTGGAGAAATTGAAAAAACGAAAAGCATTGGATCAACATCTTTACTCCACAGACTCACCAATTTTCTCAGATGACAACACTGTCAATGTCGTGGAAATCTTAGCAATGGATAAAGAGGAAGTCACACTAACTCGATTACCTAAAAAATCTAAACTGGCCCACAACCAGAATCAAAATTCTAACGATATAACGCCAGTGGTGCAACGACTAGGAGCAAATCCGTCAATTAGTGTGCGAACATTGTTCCCTGGAGAGGAGGAGATGGGCCTTCATGCTAATATTGAATTCTCGAATATTAGAGAGATAACACCTCAAGGATGGGAGAAATGTGCAACAATAATTCAATATGATCGAGATACAAAACTACTTTGGCAAGAGTTACAAAGGCCATATGGCAATCAGAGTTCTTTTCTGAGACATCTCATCCTTTTGGAAAAGTACTATAGGTCTGGAGACTTAGTTTTAGCCCCTAACGCATCTAGAAACGCTATAAACTATTCGACCTCAGTGCAAAATCGATTAATCTCGTATGAAGGACCAGAAAAGATGGATGAACCCATTACTGAACCAATTCCCACCGAGTTTCATCACTCGAAGAGACTCAGTGGAGGTTATCTAATGGATAGGGAAAGAACATCCCTTCCTGGAAATAGCGGCGTTGTCACACCTATCACTACAGTTGGAATATCAGTGACTTCGAACCCTTCAACCCCCTCAAAAATTCTCCCTTCCAATACTCCATCAAAATGTAGTTCCTCTAGAATTTTGAAGATCAATCCTGGTGTTTCAATAATAAAGAAGCCACCGCCGAATCTTCAACGGCTTAGTTTATCTTCCAGCAGTGGCAATAGTACCAGCAGTAGCTGCACTCCAGCTAATGGATCAACTAAACGTAAAGATATTTTTCCCAACAAGATTACTGGAGGTGGAACATCGGGAGGAAAGGTCTTTCAATTGTCCGAACCTGATTTTAAACGACTTCAAAGTTTAAAGAAGCAAAAAATGATGAACCAAAAGAGCAATACATCCAACCATACAAAACTAAGTAATCTGCAGTATCAGAAGGCACAAATAGCTGCTCAAACGCAATTTCAGAAACACTTGAGGATGCAGCAGGAGATGCTCAATCGTCAGAGCCGTGGTGACTTTGAACCACTAATTTGTGATGTTAGATCACTGGCTAATGAGAATACTCCGGCACAAAATCTTCTTAATAATTTAAATCTGCCAAAATCCATTCAGGTTACCACAAAACCAGCTAACAGTCCTATTCCAATACTACCAAAAATTCCTAAATCACTCACTGTTATACCACAGACTGTTCCCAGGAATCTGGACAAGTGACGCGTGAGGAGGAGGGCAAGAAAGAAGCGGGGAAGAATAGGATGATGATTTTTTAAGAGAATTAATAATCTTCGAGTTGACTTGATGAGAAAGAATGAAAATATGTTGGCAAGTAGACCATGGTTGTTTTCCCACAATTATGTGGTTGATATTTTTTGCATCGTTACAGATTTGAGCAATCTCTCTGGATTAGACATTATTGATTATTTTATCTGTAGTTAACAAGTAAAATAGAATAGATTGATTATTATGAGATTATCAGTTGAAACGGCTTATTACAAAGAGTCTCTAATGATTTGAATCCGCAATAAATTTAATAATCTTATTTCTGTTTCTTCTTCATTGTGAAATTATATGTTAGAAAGGATTTGATTCGTGAAAACATTTCTCGAGGTTTTTTATTTCTCTTCTATCATCCAGGAAATTTTTCACTTGGAGAGGTTTTCACCCATTTTATTTTGAGACAACCTACTTGAGACATAATTTTATAATTAACAAAACTGAGTGAGAGTACTTGACGTATTAAGCTTTACCATTCTCTACAGATAATATAATCATAATAGCATGCAAACAGTGTTTGGATCGATAGGAATATAAATGATACGTATGAACAAATAAAAAATAGATATTTATATGGAAGAGAAAAACGTAGACGCCTTAAAGTGAAGACTAGCACCACACAAAAATGTATCATAAATACGATTGATAATTCCAATTGATAGTGACGGGAATGAAATCTGAAAAGTGCCTAATTGTCGCAAAAAAAAGGAACTCAAGTGGAGTTTATTGATAAATGAATGAGGACAGAAACGCCGCGCGTTGCTAATTTCTAATTATCAATAGATTAATGTCTACAATAATAATTATTTAATTGAAATCCTAATCCTAATGACTTATACCAATTTTCTTGGGGGATTCACTTCAATTGGAGGCAAAAAGGGAAAAACCGACAAACGGTTATTTTCATTGCCAAGCCCCATTATATAACTGACGATTGTATCCTCTCCACATTATTTTTATTAATTATATTGTCTTTTCATTTATCATAGGTTAATCGATGAACGTTGATTTATATGAAAACAACATTTTTGTAAAACATTTCGGTTTAGATTAATAATTTATGATTTATTGATTAAATTTTCTCGAATAAATGAATTTGAAACGAAGAAACAGCGAGAAATGTACCAATTTCCGAATTTCTTCATGAAAAGTTCATTTTAAAAATGTGTTAAATTCTATTTATTACGTGACTCGTAATTGTTGTAAATATAAATATAATACAAAATTTTTTTTCAGTTTGTGGATATGACTATTTGTCAAATCCTATCACTTACTGATGATTATTGTCTGCTCCAATTGATTTATTGATTATATGATTTAATTATTATCATTAATATAATTGATTGAAAAGTATAAGAAATGCTTGAATAGCCAGGCGCATTTACTGGTTTATGTTAATGGATAGAAATGAATGATGTGAGACAAAACGTGGAAACGCCTTATCAATAATCAAGAGTTCTGGAGGGTGAAGAAAGAAAGAGAGCAGAATGAAACGGGCTGTTTTTTGGGAAAAGTGATAGTGTGCATGTAAATAACTAACGATTTAAATTGATAATTTATTCAAAGGACTGATCGATTTTCAGATGGATAGATCAACAAAGTGCCCCATTCTTCATCATTGAATAAAAATAAAAAGCAAAATGGAATTAGTGAACTGTGATGATTATTCAACATCCAGTGATTAAATTATGAGAAAGACCAAAACGGAGGAATGTCGATGAAAAATTTAATATATTAATTAATTAATCAATGAATTATTCAACAATTGATTGTTTAATTGGAGATAGAAAACGTAACATGTTCAATTTTTCCATTTGTTTCGAAAAAATAGTAATTAGTAAATGAGTTATTGTATCAGGCAAGCTGATAAAATTCCTTTATTTCTTACCTATTTTGGTCTAAAACAAATGATTGTTGAAATTATTTGTGTTCCAATGAGATCTGATGAATGGGCTTGTGTTGGTACGTTTTTAAATTACTTCACCGTTTAATTAATTGATTGTAGATTTTTGATGAGATGAAAACGACCAGAAATTTCCATTTAATCAATTGGGAATAGAGCTAAGCTCAATCAATAATAAGTTATAAAATATTACGTGCAAAAAGTAAATCGAAATGAGAACAATGTAAACTTCATTATCTTTACACAAATCGTTGATTCTCCTATGGAGGAAAAAAATTAAATAATAATAAAATATTTATGCTCGAGTTATCGAATGTGTAAGGAAACTATTATTGTATTTGCGTAGCACTCAAAAAGAAAAATCGGTATACAATTTCTATATATGAAAATGCTCTATTTTACTAAGGATATTTTTGATATATACCTATATATAAACATATGTATATTGAATTATTAAAAGCAATTTCAATATTTGATGGAATTCTATGAGAGAAATGAAGATAATAGTAGGGTAAATTTGAAGAAAATCAAGCGAATGGAAGAATTTCTCACCGACAACTATATATTGAGATTTTTCGATTAATTCAGTTTTTTCATCTCTTCAAAGGTTTTTAAAAATTCGGCTATGGTTGGGCTTCGTGAATGTTCTACCATATGCGCAACTGACAATGACGATAATAACGGATGAGAGGGGAAAAAAGAGATGATAATAATGATTAACAATACGTAAGTTGAAATTTTGGAAATTCTATTTTTCTGTCGAACAAGTTGTAAAGTCAATGAATCCACGGAGATTGGCAAATAGATGGAATAAATAGGCTTTAGAATGAAGAATTGAATTTTGAATTTGATTCTTCAGGAACACGATGAATGTGTATGTTGATACACCATTTTGCGATTCACTCTGCAAAGAAAATGGTCAAGAGAAGAGGATTACGAGACCTATCTCTGAAAGAATTAGTTTGGCTAGGCTGGACGAATTCTTAGACTGAATTAATTTCTGAGCTGTCTGCGAAATAATATATAAGCAATTCCAAAAAATACTATGTATAAAATCCGTGGACGGAATAGAGGGGATCATTGGGATTATTGCGGGAATATCTCTAGATTTGATATTGCTTAAAAGGTAAACGCAAAAAAAAATATTCACGGTATTTCATAAAATTTTTTACAGAGACGATCCGAAATTGTCTTCTCATGATACTAGGTTTGTAGGTGGTTTCAAAATATTATAATGATTCCAAAAGTAATATTATTGAAGCTCCATCATTTCAGGAGCATGCGTCTCCAGATGACAACCTATTTAATTTCTTAACATTAGACACAAAAGTTTTTGCACCGATAAGGCAGAAGAATGAATTTTACAAAGAAAGTAAAGTTGAATTGAGCGTTGAAAAACAAAGGAAAATTGCATGATGTAAGTTGAAGAAACTGAATTGTACGTTCAATAATCATGGTGGATGTTGGTAAACAGAATATCGTTGGATATTTAACCAGCATTAACAATTGATGTTATCTTTTAGAAAAAGAAAAATCTATATACAGTCGTTATTATTTCATTGCTCATTGTTGACGATAATTAAGGTAAAGGAAAACTCCCCTCCATTTTTATGAGCGAAACAAGACAAATACAGAAAACTATAAAATCATTTATCCACAAAATATAAATTGAAAATCGATATGCGTAGCAAAGCAGAAAAAATATTATGTTATTTAAATTAATAATTGATATGTTATTGCCACTATAATGCCTTTGTTTAATTTAAATAGTGTAATAGCTGTTTGGGTTCTCCATTTTTTGTATATATTCGCAGCACTCAATAAAAATTAAAAAATTAGTTGGCTCTTACCTATTTATTTTCATCACGTTCCATTAAAGGTCGGAAAGGAATAAATATCTGAAAATTCAGATATTTATTATTATCAAGATGTGGTTTTGTAAAATTTTAGGTCGACTAATAATTTTGGAGATCGATCCAATAATTTCAGATATAAAAGATCCATATATAAAATATACTCGTTTTTTGAATTGGCTCATTGGACAATCCGGAAAGAGCAATATAACACCAATAAATAGACCTTGACACCATTTTATTATTACGTAGAAGACAGTCGTGTAAATATGTAAATAGTGGACGCAGAGGGTCTGCTATATTTTGAATTTCCTTTTTGATTAATATTTAATGTGAATACTGTGTGTATCGGGTACAAAAGTGGCGGACACTTTTTATTTTCAGTCGTATTTTCTGCAAAACGATCGCATAAACATGTTTAGATTTACTTTTTACATGATTTTAGACTATTTCAGCTTAACTTTCAGAGACAATTTTTTAAATTATGTTTATCATTTTATTATCATTATTGCCAAATTTAGGCGAAAAGTGTCATCAAAACTTGCCTTTTCAGTAGAGTAAACACCGATATGCATAGTTACGCTATTTTTCAATATACTAATGAAAAATTGTCGGTAAGATTGAAAAGAAAAGATCTCAAGAAGTGGCCCCACGAAATTGCCGCGCAAGATATGATTCAACTGATTATTCCCTTAATTCGAATCCCGGAATTTAATATTAGCATACGATGTCGATAATTTAGCCTGAGACAATTGAAGAAACATAAAACATAGTGACGCTTATGAACATGAGTGATAAAATCGGGTATGATGAAGTGTTAATTCACAGCTGCCATTGACCACGATTTGAATCGGGGTCATAATCCGTAGGCGGTCCCTCACGTTTGAAAATTAATTGAATGTTTCCCTCGAATTACACTGTTTAATAACATGTTGTAAGTTATGTGTGTAGTTTGGGATAAAATCAATTGTGCAAGCACCCGGAATTTTTATACTGTCAAAGTTGATGCATAGCTGATAAACAACACAACTCTCGGCAAATACTCGCGGAATATTATTGATGATTTTTCGCGTCCATATTTCAGTTAATAGAATTGCACCATTCGACGAGGCATTCTACTCGATATTATACTCAATATTTTTCAAATATTTCGTCTCTTATATTACCTATGAGTGGCTTCACCGAAATAGTGATATGTATGTAGGACAGTGACCATTGAGATGCGCTTCTCAAGCCTCAGCCCAACGATCGTAGACGCATTGGTAGAATATGGCAGAAAGATATTGATGTACTCTCCAAGTGTTCCAATTATCAAGTACCTATGTCAATCAGTATGGCACCTGGCGCTCATTTTCAGAAAGTCACGGTACTGAAATTGACAGTACATTCTTAGCCATTTCTTGAGAACGGTAGAAGAAAATGATCGAATTTGAAATGAAATAAATAATAAACATGTGGCGGCACAATGTCTCGTATATCAATTTCGTGTATGGTGGAGCAAATGATCAATGAATACTTTATTTAAGACACGATACTGATATAAATATTCTTGAATAGCAGCACCAACTGGTAAATCACATACTCTGAAAAGTTATTCATCTCCAAGAATGTTATCTGGTAATGATGATGAAAAGAGTGATTTCGTGGTAATCACTATTTCCGTGGAATCATCCATAGATGATACAAAAAACTGTTGGATTACGTTAACCGCTGATTGAAATTGACAGATTGAATTTAATAGTGTTATTCACCGAGTGAAATATTTCGATGTCATTGCGTTCAATAAAACATGTTTCTAACCTCTCTTCGCTCAGTTACACTCGTGATTTCGGCCACAATTACATAAAATAGTATCGTAGCCATGGCAAAATAGTATATTTCACGCCTAGGACGGAAAAAGGGAATCTGACGAATGAAAATATGAAGAAATACCAGCACGATCTTTTGCGTCGTTTAATTAAAATTGCGAAAAAGCCCTGCATACAACCTTGCGCAAAATTGGATAAAAATATAGAAAAACCCTTTTCCAATATCATCTGTTATGTTCACATGACCCAAAAATATTTAAAACAAAGATATAACGTTCTACATTTGCATATCATTCGACTAAATAACTAACGTCGCCACGACCTTTTGCTCAATGCAACCATTCCGCTGTTTTAATCAATAATTAGCATTATTTACTCATGTTAATATTGAATCGGAGCTGTATTCAAATTTTTGCTTTCGAATAGAAGCTTCATAATCGTCAAATTTTCAAATTTTGTAATTCTGCTTGGAAGTGATGTAGAATGATCTGAAACGTAAAAATACAAAATTTGAACACATGTGTATATGCGTACAAGGCCAACTCGGAGCACTCTTAGAAAATTAAAGGAATAAACGGCTAAAATTATTTATAATATAAATTAAAATATAATATATAAAATAGATTATAAGTACAGGTATTACTATAAAGTAAGTCTGTGCCAAAATTCAGGCTGATTGGTTCAGCCGTTTTCCATAAATGGCCATTTGTTTCTGAATTAGTTGCCGCAAATATCGCGAAAACTATCCAATCGATTTCAACTTTTCACCTGTCAAAATATTCGTCTCGATGTATACTATTTCAATCAATCAAAATATGTATATCTATTGTGACTAAGTTTTCGAGATATTTTAATTTTTCTGCTTTGTCCAAAAAGCACAAAAAGTTTGTTAGCACGGTAACGTAGCGAAAAATTCATTCATGAATGTGAAATTTGGCATGAAACTTCCTCTTAGCAATGAAATGTTTGGTATTAAAGAATAACTGAATCGGCTCAGTAGTTCATGAGACATTCCAATTGTTCTGGTTTTTCAAAAAAAAAATTGTTAGCAGGCTAAAGTTTTGAGAAATTGCCGAATCAACTTGAAATTCGGCAAGTTTCCTATTGGTAATTAAATATTTGGAATTGAGGAACGGCTAAATTCGATAATTAATTCATAAAATATTCAACTTTGCTTGAAATTGATTCCCTAAAATATCTCGAAAGCTATTCAAAAGATTTCAATTTTTCACCTATCAAAATATTTGTCTCAATGTACTCTACCTTAATCCATCTAAATATGTACATCAGTTCTCACTAAGTTTTCGAGATATTCTACCTTTCCTGTTTTTTCAAAACAAAAACTGTTAGCACGGTAACGTTGCGAAAAATTTATTCTTTAACTCGAAATTTGGCACGAAATGTCCTCTCGGTAATTAACTGTTCGGTTTTGATGAACGCTGAGGCTTTCTTTTCCCAAAATTTTGTACTCAATCTCTATTCGTTTCGCTTTCCTAATTTTATTTTGCGTCGCAATGTTGATTCATTTTGCAATCAAACTTGATATGTTTTCTGAAGTCATTCATTTTATGAATGATCTTTCATCAAACATTGATTCCATGATCTCTTTACTTGCAAGAAAAAATTTAATGAAAAAACCTAACTAATGAAAAATCCTAGAAAAAAATCACTAAAGTAGATGCTCACTGTCACACCCTCGCTGTCATATACTGCAGTCTTCTGCTTGTTTTGGTGTAAAGTACTAATTACTATTGAGCATTTTTCTAGATTGCAAAATCTAGTTGTCCAAGTCTGGTACTCTATATTGGTGGTATCAATAGCACCAATAAAGCGAACCCATTCGAATGACCATTGTAGTCGAATTTTAGTAGAAAATTTTCTCAGATAAAAAATAAAATATCTCCACTAGGTTGTTTCCCGATTCATTCGATTCAAAATATTGATGTGGAGGCTTTTTTAAAAAATAATCTAACATAATTTTCATCAACCATTGATTTTCTTAGAAAAGTACTTATGACCTGGCTAAATTAGCGTTTGTAGCTTTGTCAGGAAAGGTATTTGTAGAGAAAAAATTCACATTGCATTTTTTGTGCAATTTATTTGCTTTTATCATTCTCGAATAATTGGTAACTTGATTTTGAATAATAGTCTAAAGTACTAAAATATTAACGAAACTTTATACATAGTCAACTCCTTGTGTATTTCATTTTTCGTATATACAAAACTGTTATTTGGATAATTTTCTCTTCTGTGCGCCTTCAAACTCTCTTCACATATTTCTAACCATCATGTTATTTCAGCGCTCAGTAATCGGAATTCTATGTTCAAATCTTCTCCCGAATACACCCATTATTATAAAATTCATTTACTTATTTCAATAATCCTTATTTATCCTACCCAGCATTGAGTACAATTAATTAATCAATAAATTCAAAAAATGGGGAAGAAAGATGAAAGAAACAAAAATTTTTCAAACAAATGAGAAATAACAAAAAAGAGTTGAGTTGAATATACTTCTACTACTTATATGCTCGTGTTTATATTAATTAATTTAATATTTATCCGTTGAGTGTTTGTCATTTTCATTGAAAAATAATAAATTTTTTTTTCCTATATTGAAGTGCTAGTAAATTGATCATTGCAGAAAAAAATATGAAGAACTTTTTTTTATCATCATTGATTCTTTTTTGCCTTGTATCCCAGCCAATCAGAGCGCACTATTCGAAGTTTTCAAGTAGATTTCTTTCCGATTGTTTTCCAGCTTGTATATTGCACACTAATTTTTAGTAGCATTTTACGTAAAACTTTTTTTTTCAATCAGTGAAAATCCGAGTGAGCAATTCGATAACTACGCATACTCCCAAAACGAATCGAGTATTTCTTTCGAACTACCTTTTATCTATCAATTTTTGCAGAAAAATCCCTTGTACTGAACCGTGAGCATTTTTAATCTACACAGTTTAAAACATTCCGTTCTATGCAACTACACTATCTGTAGGTGCACGATAATTTTGAAGCCGAGGTAGTGCTTTTGAAAGTTTTATACGCCACGAGAGAATGTCTCTTGATTTCCTGTTCATCAAGGCCAATAATTATTATCAATACAATCTGATGATTCAATGGAATGACGCACTTCGACTCATGTTTTACAATTTCTCTTTCAATTGTCATCGCTTACCATCCTACTCCACAATAATTGTAAAATTAATGAAAATGTTCGACATCCAATAGATCATTCCACCTTACTTCATGATAATTAACGTAGTAATCACAATTCTATAGAATATGAATTACAAAGAAAATTAACTAAGGCCCTGTCTGCATAAATTGTCAATCAAATAAGATGTGTTGTTTTGGAATTTCATTTTATAACCAGAATAATTATAGCATAAAAGTAATTATTTACAGGTGTATAAGTTTGTAATGAGTCTGCATACTCAACACGAGAAATCTCCTTTTCTTCCTTTTTTGTACGGTCACCTAGATCTTCAGTTTTTTTCAGAAATACCGAGTAAAACTAAATAATTATCCACATTTTTCTATACTAGTATCAGCTTAGTCATTCAGGGATGAAACGTTGAAATTATGTCGTATTTAATGTCGCAATTAATTATGCAATTATTACGGTATTAAACTAGTGATTCCACAGTGGAAATTTTAAAAGTCCTTTTTTATTTGAAAAAAATTGTGGCAAGAAAGGTTTTATTGATATTTATTTTTGACATCACTCTGCATCTATGCAGGTCACAAATCAACTTGTAACGTTATGCCATTTTAATCTAAAATTAATCATATTATTTTCATTAGCTGTTTCACCAGCTCCTGTGTTCCGAAACAATTATATAAAAGAAAATGTTCTAAAAAAAATTTACTTGATTAATTTACGCTTTCATAGCTCTTAATTTTTTTCATTCAATCTTTCAATTGATTAATTAATTTTAATATTAATTCGATTAAGGCAGTCTATCCTCCACTTGGACGATACTTTTCATCTTACAAACGTGATAACATTCCCTTGAATGATATTTCCACTCTTCCAGTTGCCCTTGGTACAGTCTTTCAATCATTCTCCAATATATATCCCTAATGATCAATATTCAAGATCATTGAACACGTGTAATTAGCCAATTAGACGATACGCCATTGATTTAGTAATTTTTTCTAGGTCTCAAGTCCTGGTACAAGACTGTGGAAGGTCTGGATATCGTGGAAGGCTCTACCACAGCTCTGATTATTGTTTCTCTCGAATTTTGTTAGGTCGAAGTGTTCATCAAGTGATTGCAGATCTACAAGTCTCTCCTCTAAACTTTTCGTTGAATCTGTGAATCGTGCAAAATCACAGATTCGTTCTTCACACTCAATTTCAGTCGAGTCCATCATTATTGCTGGCTGTGAGCCACAGGGAAGTGAGGAAATATCATCGCTGATAAATAAGCTATTGGTATTCGTAGTGGTCATCCGTGGACTCTCGTGGCGGCTGTGGTAGCTATCCAAAGTACTACTCGAAGTTTCTTGCAGTTGGGAATCTTCTGAATGAGAGAGAAGCCGTGGCGTAGGCGGAAGGATATAGAAATCACTGAAGACATCATCTTGAAGGTCCAGATCATCATGCCTTTGACGCTTGGATGTGAGTAAATCAGCTCCCCGCAATTCTTCACCGAATCTGTTTGAGAAAATATACAAATGGTCAAATATCTTTAAAAGAAACTACTTTTCCACATTTGGCATCTTTTCTGGCGTTTTTTTATAGGCCCCTTAGTATAATAAGAAATAAAGGTTAAAATATCGAATTGAATTTCTTTTTGCTCCAAGCCTTTATAGCTAGGGCTATAAAGAAGCTTTATGGAGTTATGCGGTTAACTTGCGACTTTCAGTTATTGACAAAAACTAACATTATCGTTGATAATGAATAGAATAGTCCTTCTGTCTTTATATTCCTCATCTGGACTGATTACTACGTACTGACTTGATACTCTAAAACATATATAGATTTCATCAAGTTTGTTGGGTATATCAATGTATTACTCACCGTTTTTTGGACACATTTTCAGACTCCATCATCATATTTCCACTAGCCTTATTCTCTTTAGAGGAATCGTCCAAGTATCCTGCCATTGGTAAACCATAATTCCTCGTCTTTTCGTCTCGGTTTTCACGTTGGAGGCGTCTTACAGCGTTGTTTATAAGGACGGAGCGACATAAACTTGCCTCTGGGTCTTCGATTCTTCTGAGTTTTCCAGCGGAGATCTTCAGTAGACGTCGACGTTCTTCTCTTGCGCGGTACTTTGCTGAAATCATCGTTGGACGGCTCCTGCGGATCACTAAGTCTTCCTCCAATCGCATCTTAGTACCTGTAATCAATTAGACAAATGAAAGATTCATTATTAAGCGTTAATAATTCGTCAAACGAAATGGAATGATTCTATGGGTATGTCCTAGCCACCCCACTGACTTATTGAGCTATAAAAAGACAAAGTGATGAAACAGAGTAGAAGGGAGCGTTCAATTATCATCTGAGCATTGAGCTTACTATAATGCTTAGATTCCCATAGAGAACTCATTAAGAGAGGATTTGGCGGAACAGTAATTGTAAGGAAACAAATCTGTCTCCTCATTGGTGCAAATTCTATTCACCATGCTTGATAAAGGATATGATACAAAAAGGCCTCCAAAAATTGAAATAAGTTATCCTGAATACTAATATGTATTCATTATTTATATTATCCTCATTTCTTAAAAATGTATCGTTCTTTTAAAAATTTTTTAAGAATGATCCATTTCTGTAAATAGTAAAAATTCTCATAAAGAAATGTGGAGAAAGTCTTGACAATCTAAGTGATATCATTTTTTATCTTTCAATTTATTATCAAAGGTTTTAGCCTGAAACCAACACCTTCTTTAATGAACTATTACCATTTAATGTATATATTATATTTAATGTATATACATGAAATAAATGTCTCTTTTCAATTCAAAACTTTTTTTCACTACGGTTTTTAGTAACTTTTCCATTCATCTAGTAGGGATGAAGATATGATATAGAAAATAAATGAACTTTTATTTAGGATTATCCTTATTCATTCGCTGGCTGAGTTTTCAAAGTGTTATTTTATTGGTTTTTCGAGGGACCGATAAGAGATGTTTGAAACATCATTGGGCTGCAAGCGTCTACATTTATAGGAGTAGGTAGAAAGAAATAAAGTGAAGGATACAGTGGCCTCGTTCAAGTATTTGGATGAAAATGAGGAGAAAAAAAAGGGTTGTGAGACGAGTGACTTTGTTGCACGTTGTTTCTCAATGGCAGAGTGTATCCGGTCTGCACAGGTTGCCGGATGTGCTCAGAAAAGAATGGAGAGATGGAATAAGCAGGAAAAGAGGGGTCAGAGCAACGAGCAATGACAGTTTCCTGCACACGTTCTATAAGTGGATAACATTATTATAGGGAAATTTTTGGGAGCAGTTGAAAAAATTTCAAGTTAGGCGGGGTTTACTAGTAATGTTAACGTCTTCTCTTCTAAAGAATCATTCGCTGTAAGAGTTCTGAAACAGATATATTGGAGGTAAACATTGTTCTTCAAATCGATTTTAATATTTCTAACATGGATACGTTTGAAGAAGAAAGACGGGAATTTTTCTTAGATATAGGGTTTTTTAATAAATCTAAATTGAAAGGGAAATAGATTTCTGTACGATATTCATATTATATTGGAAGGTCAAATCTTTATTGGGATTAACATGTCCTTCAAACGCGAAACTGCTTCACCTTTTCACACTTCTAGCTTTGGAGCAGACATTATGCATCTTAGATACAATTCTATTTGGAAGAAGTGTTTTGAAATATTCAATATTTGACTAGTTTCCTCCATCCATTAATCCTCCTCCTTCCATTCCTGCATTCCTCCTTCCATTAACTATTAACACTTGCACTTTGCTTGCGTAATATTCCATAATGAATCTTCAGAATGAAGAAATTTGAGTAAGTTTTTGGCAAAAAGTGTTTCCTGATAGATTATTTCTTGATTTGCTATATGTGTAAAGTATTAGAGAAATTAAGTGGCATGTGGATTTCAGACTTTAGTCTATTCTTCAAGCCGTCACTATACAATTCTCTATCGAAAAGACATTCACATCTAATCTGATTTGGTCAAACGTAGAACAACGAATATTATACTGAACACACAGGTTTATTCGTGAAATTGCTCTGGGCAAGGACAATAAGTATGCACAAGGCCATCCGATTGGCGAGAGTGACTTCGAACATTTACTTTGGTACCACATGCGACATTACTCCTGATGCGTCATCAGATCATTATTGCTCGATTTCACACAAGTACATTATTTTGTCACGTTACATTCTTTCACTAATGAAATGGAAACATTTGTATACTATTGTATCATTTATTTAATCAAAATATCATTTAACTTCCAAACTCCAACGCCAAGTGATTTACTAACAAAATCTGCAGAACCATTTTTTTGTAAACATTTTTGCTGTTCTGAAACATGCTTGACGGAAGTTTCGAATAAATATCTTTTTCTCCCCGGTGGGAGCAAAGTACACACTTCCCTAGAATTCTGACTTAGCTCCGACGCCGATGAGAAGAATGATGTTGTCACCACGGAATGTAAAATACAGAAGCCTTACCTACGTGCTTACCACCCTCAGTAATTGTGCACGTGGACAAGCCTTCTTCACTCTACCTCCCTAGGTGAGAAACATACTATCATCAAGCTGTGTGAAAACGAAAACGAAAACGAAAAAACGAAGACTGCTGTTGAAAATAGTATATTACATACTTAGGCTAGTAAAAAAAGAACGGTCTCAGACCAAACGAAATTTTTGGCCGAGGTGAAGCCGAGGCTGACAAACATGTGATCTGAGGCATTTTTTTTTTACTGGTCGAGAGGTGTATACGATTTTTCTGCTCGATGAGCCAGAAAGCCACAAATCGCTCTATTATCAATCATTTTCCTTTTCTTTCAAATAATCGCCGCCGCATCCTACTAGTCTTTGATCATTAGTGATTCTCATATTTATTCATTCTAATTTTATATTCCCTCCAATTTACTCCTTTACTTTTATCTAATTTAGACCCATAAAATATAAATAAAATCCGTGAGATTTTACATTTTCGTAGCACATGCCAAAAAAGTACACTTCATGGCCCAGTTTTACAAGGGTAAAATGTTATCCTTCCAAAGTACTGCTTAAAGTAAAAATTCGTAGGCATAGGAAAAAATGGTAGGTTTTTCCCTTGACGAACTAGTAATATAATATCCTATTTTGTTTTTCCGTATGTTTCTTATTGGCATTCCACGAGAGTGTTCTATTAGTTTAGCTCTTTAATACATTTTTTGGCTTAAATCTAAATTTCCCATGAAATATCAACGGACTTCCTACTAATACCTATCAATTTCATATAAAAAAATATGTCCTACAATTTTATCCTGAACCCATGAATTTCCACAAAAATCGATAATTACGATTTTTCAAAGGCTCATCTCGTAATTTACCTATCAAGTTTAGAATTTTTATTATATTAAATTTAATAATAAAAAATTCAAAGAAAATCAAGTACGCAAAGAAGAAGATACGGTTCGGAGACTATCTCATGTGGGACATAATACCGTTCTTGAGTGTCCGTTATTATTTCTTTCATTCCTCCAAGACATATCTCTCTGTGCTCTCTTCGTTTTTATGTCCTCGACGAATGTTTTTCCCCTTTTTAGACTGCGGAAAAGGTAAAAACTGACTTTGAGAATATTTATGTGATTTGCAACGAAATTTCAAAATTTAAACAAGCAGTGCGACCGCAGGCAAATCGGGTATTTTCTCATTCCTGGAATTGCATATTTCCATAATTTAAGTGAGAAGGCGCGTAATTATTTCACATTTCTCTCGTTTTGTACACTTTTCAAGTAACTCGGGAAATTAAATCAACTTCTTCGATACCAAAAAAGATACAATCTTCCATCAGCGTTTGAAGCTCGGTGATAAGAAGATCATAATAGCATATTTGAATTGAAATTTATTGTTTGCCTTCGTATTTTTTCCATTAAAATATCAAAGCAAAAGATAAATTAAGCGTTGGAAGAATTTTATCATTAATTTGAAGTAAGTTTGATCAAGTAATATTTTAAAAAATCGAGATAATTTTCGAATTGGACTCAAAATCAGTGAATATAACTTTAGAAAATCAAATACTGATAAAAAAATTTCATTAACAGTCACATGAATAGTTGTCTTCGAAAATCAATTTACTGTCTATCTGAATTGAGAAAAGATATGTATTTCATCTGAAGAAAGAGTAAAAGTGGCAATACTTGTAGAACGAATTGTTTCTCGATTAAATGGAGTAGACACAGTTGAAGGAGTAAGTACTACTGTAATGACACCTGGCAATGGTGTATGTGGCGTTGTGAAATTCTTCTGAACTTCTGAATATTTTCTCCATTGAGATTTTGAAATTAGTACAAACATGGAATTAATATAAGCAAAGGAATCGAAAAGATTGCGATGCGAGTTTTGAGTTTTCATTGAGAGCATATGCAATTAATTGGAATGATGAATGATAAATAAAAACAAACCGTGTTTAAAAATGCTGAGACAAACTTTCAACACATTTGAAGAGTGAAAAACGATGCAATCGAGCTTTTAAGCTTAATTATCAGGTGCTTATCACCTCGTGAATTTGAAATTATCACGTGATAAGATAAAACAACAGATAAATTAAGAAAAAATGAGTTAAATCTCCTCCTTATGAAAAGAATAGTTAAATTTGGATTTATTAATTTAGAATTATGATTTTCGTATATTACAATAGCAGTGCAATTGATAAAACGCAACAATGAGACGGTTTATCGAAATCTCTTCATTTGCAGGCGACAGGTACGACTTTTTAAAAAGATCGTTCTCTGAAGATTGAACTATAAGCCAGCTGAATCATCAGAAAATCTGGACTGGAAAATCGTAAAGCTCCAGAAGTTTATGACGCTATAGGACACAGCCTTTCTTAAAATTGTTCAGCATTTGTTTAGAATTAAACGCCTCTTGAGTTCGGAGCAGAGCGGATGGTAAATTAGTCCTCTTCCTTCAACTCTTTCTCCAGTATGTCATAAATTTTCATCAAGTAATTTTTCTACGAATAACAAAAGCGCTATGCTCCGATATTCATTGGCGGAGCATATTGATTATTTAATAGTGACAATTAAACTGTTTCCATTTTTTGTTTCCCCTATTACAAAAAATATCAAATTATATTTGTTCTCCAAATATCGGATCAAGACTCAATTCCGCAAAGGCCTGTTAGGTAAATGAAATATTTAGAAAAAGTCATTTTCTTCCTTAGCTCACGATTGGAATAATAGAATTTGGTGATTTACGCTGCATATCAAAATTTTTCTTAGAATATGATTAGCTTCACTATCGGCCGAATGACACTTCCATGATTGATTAGAAATTCGTTAGGGGGACATATTAATAACTAAATGAATTCAACAGTGCACAAACATTGAATAGTGCACTTTATTAGAAATTCCAAGCTCGAATTGTTTGTAATTTACGGCTTTTATCATCTTTATACCCAGAAAGTAGCATGCTAATTCGTGGGAGACGTCAAGACGTTTGTACGATTGCTATAATAAGTGCTAGAAAATAAAAAAAATTAACGATTCGATCCTGATCTTATTCATTGATTTTTCACCGATATAGTTACTGTAGCATTGATCGTATCTGTATTGTAGGGGTTTTGCTAAAAAAGTGACTGGCCAATGAGTTATGGGGATGGAATATACACTTTTTAATTAAGCGAAAAGCAATTGTTGATATTCATTATTTTAGTTTCTTTACATTCCCTAAATTTAACAAGTAACTAATAATCAGATGCAATATTGAGAACATTTGTTTGGCTGCTAAATTCACAACTCAATTTCAGCAAAACCATTTCACCAACTATCAATGTAGAAATAATGTGTAAAAAAAGGAAAATGGAAAATAGTTTAGGGATAAGAAATTAAAGACAAGGAATTATGTAGGAAAGCACGCGCTGTACGAAAAGAAATGTCCCCAAACTCACCAACATCTCAAGACCTCACGTTTCACAAAAAAAAAAGGTGTTTTCATTAAAAAAAACAGCTGCAACTAATTCCCAACAGTCAAAGCTCACGGAAATCTCAACGCCAAGTTTATGACTTTTCTACCAATTTCTCGTCGTTCTATCAACATCCCTGTTAACTTTCCTCCCACCACTTTTTGAAAACCTTTTTTTGGTAAATCACAAGCAGAAGGGAGGATCTGAGGGGACAGTTGATGAACACAAAAATACAATGAGGAGTTAGTTCCTACATAGTTGTCAGATAGATAAGATCGATTCAGTCCAGTTAGCTCACTAAGCGAAATGGCAAGAGTGTCGGTGTCAACAAATATATTTCTACTCTCTACCTCTAAACGGTGTTGTGCTTGTTTTTTCTTCAAGTGAACCAGTGAACTCACACTTCAAATTTAATTCCTATAGAGATTGTCAATCCGAGTGAGATTAAATTCTTAGCTTGTACGCGACTAAGGCGATACCAGAATGTTACAAACATTGTTAAAAAGAATCATTTTATCCATTGAAAGGAAATTACAAGAAGAGTACACGGAAAGCAGATTATATTTATTTTAACGTCTTATTTTGCGGAGTTTTCTATGCCAGTCCATTCTTGTTATCTCAGTATTAAACGTGTGTGGATTAGTAATTTGTACTATACTAACAGCAAGCCAGAGACATAGTTGACGTAGTGTATTCTCCGGAAAAACCAGAGTGTCAACGCTCCAGTTTTCCAGACATTACGAATTTCTGGAAAGAAAAATGATATCCTTAGCGGAATACTTGCTTTAGATAATGAGAATTTGATTAATGTCTTTATAACACAGCCGCATTAAAAGATATTGTAATTAAGCCTGAATATCGAATGTTAATAACAAATTAATAACCACAAATTCAAAAAGCAAAATAAAAAGATAATAAAAATGTAATTGCCACCGATAAAAGGTGAAATAGTGAGTTAAAAAAATAGGATCAAACCAATTGAATAAGTGGAGAGAACCTTGAATTAGTAAACGTCTAAATTTCTCAACGTTAAATGAATTGAATACGCAACACTCCTGCAGGGAAGTGGTGTACAATGAGGCAGCCAAGATAAGCCACTACGCAACATTATGCAAAGGCCCTTAAACTCCCCCGATTTCCCCATACCGTAATCACAATCTAAGACAGAGTTACTCCCCACAATCTTCCCCTTCTTTCTTCTTCATTTATAGTATTACATTCTCCGCGCATTTTTCCCCTTCATCACCGTGGTACATTCACCCGAATAACCCCAATATTTCAACTTCTCATGGTCCGTTAATTCCTGCGCACGCGCCACATGAAGCATTGCCTGAAATAATACTCCCCTCCAGCCGTCGTAGAAATCATAATTTCCGTGAATTTCATAGTTAGGAACAGTGATATTTTTTGGTAAAGTAAAATTGACATGAGTCCGAGTTACTTATATTTTTCTTGTGGAAAATACAAATGCGCAGCAATTTTAATGAGGTCATGGGAATATCGGAGAAAGAAAACCACCAGAGTCGACACGGTCGATTCTGATTCGCTCTCTGGTGTTGTGCTTCGCTCCCCGTTAAGCTGGCCATGGTATAGATGGCGGGGTGAAATTGAGAGAGAAAGAATGAAGGAGGGAAGCAAGTTGAATATGCCTTTGTCTACCGCCACCTGTCCGCACCATGCTCCTTTGTACACCATCGCATCATACATTAATTTTGTAATGCTATCTTCAACTCAATTTACCTATCTACCTATACTCCCTCCATTATCACTACTGCTACTAATCACCATCCACATTCATTAGCATTCATTGCTGGTCGATAACCTTTACACCCTAAAAATTTCGAAAAGATTCATCTTCAAGTCACTTACTCCTATTAAACATTATAATAAAGTATAAACGTAGGTGAAGATGTTGTAATTTAATACGTCACGTGTATATTGGGAAAAAAGTCAAGATAGTTTCCTAGTAGCTACCAAGTTTGTATCTTAGAAAACGCGTCATTCTGTTTTCCAAGCAAGCATATCCAACCACTAAGAAAACATGAGCTACAGAGTACAGTCGAGTAGAGTTCCTATTGCGAGTATATGAGTGGTAATTTTATATCTGTATACGTGACTTCTGCGTCACGCGTGCGCGTATGACGTGAGACGTTGAGTTGTATCCCGAAATCATATAAAAATATAATCAAGGGCACCAATTCATTTCTTCCTCTGCATTTCATTATTCATGTTTTTAACATTAAAAAATGCTTATTTCATGAAGGCGAAAGAAAATTTATTGTGTTAGTCTTGTTTTATTAAATGAATTTTCTCGGTAAAACATTTTTTATTATCGTTATTTATAATTATCCGAATAGTGACATATTCCAATAATTATAGATAACTGCCTTGGATCAAATAAATTTCACGGAAACACTTCGATGATTTACGTAAAAAAATTTTCTCCAATGAACGAGGTTCGTGGGCATTTTCCGTGGAATTCTGAATTCCAAAAATAATCATGTAAATAATCCAAATCAAACACTGCTCGATGTACGGCTACTTTTTAATGTATATATATATATAAACGCATCTGGAAGAAGTCCACCATTCGCCAGAAGAAACCTAGCGCGTCAGTGGCATATTGTATGTTCCACTTTCTTTACTTTCACGCTATGGCAGTGTCGTACTTGGGTTTCTCGCATACTATTCATTCATCCTGTGTAAATTTTTTCATCTTTCAATACAAAATTGCATGGGAATTAAACAAGTAAATGAAATTAAACCAAAACAATTATTATAAGTCACTTGAACTCTGCTAGTTAACATAGAAGCATGACCTGAGGAAACCGAGTTTCATTACAAGATGATGGTTTAAAAAGTTGGCAAGATCTTTTTTCTTCTGAATCGGTTATAATGATGCGATTTCCTACTTCACACCATCTAATCGTTACTAACATTGTACGCAATGAAACTTACATTCTAGATCTATGAAAATTGATACGTCTACATAATTGCCGATGTACGTAACACATTACGTTCATAATTCATCCATTAAGATTCATTGTACCTCAGGGGGCGCCTGAAAATGAGTTCGAACGATGCAACGAGAGAGTAAAAAAAAGTAGAGGGGAGAAGGAATATTATGTCGGCTCAACTGTGTAGTTGCTCAACTTGCCCGTCAAGACACGAGTTATGTGACGCAGTTCTACACCACGGAAAAAAATCTTTTGTCTCTTTTTCTAGTTCGGGATTGACTTTCACTCAACATCAAACGCCCCATTTCTTCCATATTCTTTTTTATATCCTTCATATATTTCTATTTTTCTTTTAATTCCATGAAAGGGTGAACAGAAGGAACCGAACATTGAACCAGATATCCAAACCAGGAGAAAACTGCAGGAAAATGCACAAGTGATCTTCGCCAATATTTATTCATGCCTTACAGAAATTTCCTGTATTATGAGGCAGTTTCAACTCGAGTTGATAAACGCTTGAATTTCTGTAACTTTTCTCTCAGATTACTCATGAGGAGATATGACGTTATGGAACGTATTTCAGTTATATTTCTCATTTTGGAGAGTTGCTCATCAATATAGTGACTGAAGTGACAATTATTCTCAATAATATCAGAAATAGCTTCAACATTCCCGGTATTTTCTTAATCAAGATTTCTGAAAATTCTCATTTAAAAAATTAATGAATGCATTGAATTTCACCTATTGATATGACACCACTACCTCTTCTTTGTTCTTCCTTAGCCCCGCGCAACTGCCATCTCTCCTTACCGTTCCACTACCATTTACCATTGCGTCTCGTGTCCGCACGAGTTATCACGAAGGAGGAATGGCGAGGGGGTCGGGATAACGGAACGTCTGTATGCAACAACAGTGGGTATATAATCGCCCAGAGAAGTGTAGTGCAACAACGTCAATGGCGTCGACTTTTCCCAGTCCACACATCCCCATATTACCTACCGCCCCTCCACCTCCTCAACCATCTGACCGAGCTCTTTAAATCATGAAAATACTCCGAATAGAAAATAAAGTGAGCCATAGACACCGTAGATTTTAAACCTGGCCATTAATTTGACTGCATTTTTCAAAACAATTTCGTTAATTTATGATTATTCGTTACCATTAATAATTCAATAAAATGCAAACCTTGTGTTTTACAATTGATGGAATAAATAGCCGTCTCTGGGTGCGAAGTGACTAACGTATGAAAAAAGTCAGTGTTTAACAGATAATGTATAAAATGGTGTTTTTTCTCTGATAGAAATGGAAGGATCGTCGAGCCCCGCACCTATATCACCGAACTACTACCACAAAGACACAAGTACTTTGCACACTAACGTATGGAGCAGCTTGCTCTCTCTTTCCTCTTTAAAACCTCCAAGCTTCCCCGAACACTACTGTATTTATGATGCTCTGTACGTCTGTGTAATAGGCGCGAGGAGTCGCAGCGGCGGACGGACGTAAAATAGGAGAAAAAGAAAGGTCTATACGCCGCTGAAGACCGTGAACAACTGAGTGGTTGGCCTGGCGGCTAGCGGCTGGCCGCTGGCGGATACTCTGCTGGCAGTGCTACTACAACGACGCACGTAGCGGCTGACTATAACAACATATAACCAGGGACTCAGGGAGAGACTGGCGACTGCGTTGACTGCCGAATCGCTGGTGGCAAGGGCAAAAGGGGGTGCAGGGCAGATGCGGCTTTTCTGAGGTTACAGCCGCTACACGACTACACGGCTACACTCCCTAGTGCAAGGACGTATGTGTAGTTAAACCACACACAGGCGAATCATATGTCCCTCCCCCCTTCTATGATTTTCTTACTTTATCTCTCGAGTCTTGTAAAGAGGTTAAGCAGAGTGAAGACTAAAGGAGATTATCATCATCTTTCTACTTGTTTTTATTTTTCCTTTGGTCATTGACATTTCTTCAATTTTTTATTTATCCAAATTCGTTTCATATTATTAATGTTATTTCAGAAACTGTGTGAAGAATTCAATCTATGTACGAGTCTCGCCGAAGGTTAGTCTGTTTCGAGATATATAGTCCATGTCTGGCTGATGACAGGCTTCACAATTCGATTATATATTATGGAGCAAAAGGAACAACACAAAGGAAACTGGCTCACAGGAAAGCTGGAATTATTGCTAATAGTTGTTTTTTCAATTTGGAAGCGATACTGAAAAATCACTCACTTGAATTTGTTCTCATGATTCGACAAATTCGGTTTCAAGGAGTCGTTCTGAACAGCAGGTATTTTTGCTGTAGATCAGACAGTTATGTGCACACACACATGCGCCTTTGTCGTGGCTCGTGCCTTTCTTTTCCATCCCACCTTCATACACCTTTTCTGTCAGAGGCCGTTTTCCGTCCGCCTCTTATCCTCGTGCTGCCTCCAAGGAGGCATCGGTTCATAGTGTGCAGGCCCATCACTAGCGTCACTTAAACTAATACTAATAAAAAGGGATTGCTGGCGATGGTGGGTTTTAAATACGTTCAGATCTTTTAGCTGAAATTTTCAATACTTACAAGTTCTATAAAAATTGAAACTAAACTTTTCTTATTCCACAGCAGATCCGTTCCCAGATCCATTCGGAGAGTTTATGGCCATAATTCTGCTGTAAATGTGTCGAATGCGGTACATTGATAAATTAAAAAAATACCTTTGTATTACCTCATTTCGAGCCTTAGGCCTGTATCGATTTTTCAAAGAGTATTCCCGTAGCATAACTTTACGAAGTTACGTAATGGTAGGGGAGATGTGAGTATAGCAAACACCTAAGGGGAAAAATCACTTCAATGCAAGGAAAATATGTTGAATGACTTTCTAATAGTTCAAAACTTAACTACGGAAAGTGACAAGATCAGTTCAGGGAGAATAAATGTAAGAACTGGACCGTCAAAATATGTTAATCAATTATTTTTTCAAGGGGTTTTCATAATGGTTTTATATTAAGTTTTAACTTTTTTATTGTCATTTCACCCAGTCTTATTAAAAAAGAAGAATTTTCTGCACATTGTGTGTATACTTACACGTCGAATAAATCGTCATTGTATAGTACAATACTATATTCTAATGTAAACGTAAAAAATGTAAAAATTATATGAAATTTTGGAAAGCGTCTATTTCCTTCACCTGTTTCAAAGGTATTTGAAAGTTGCAAGAAATAGGGAGAGGGTGGCGCAATACGGACATCCAAGAGAATTATTTTTCCAAAACTTTAAATTGATAGAATAGGCGGAAAATTTGAAATTGCAGGAGAATAGCCGAAGAAAAGCGCTTTTCAATTAACACAAATGCGTAAATTATGATCGTCTCCATTATTATAAATAAATCTATTTCTACAAATAAACTGATGAAGATAATTCTTTTTGCCCCATCTTGGATGAAAACAAATTCACGGGCAGGCTCTGTCCATTTTTGTGGCTCTATTTGAGGCCATGAGGGAACCTTTTTACGCATATTCGTTGCCATATCTTTTTATTTTCCTCAAAAAGCCCATTCAGTTCGCCCCTTTTATAAATTTCATTACGCCTGTGAGATTCCACAAAATTTACAAATTTAACACTAATTTCCAATAAGAACCTTTTATTGTAATTTTCGACTGTACTCGCTAAATATTTAATACTGTAATCCATAGAGTGCACCATTCTTCCTTATTGACGAAGAGAAAAAAAGATACGTTGGATTTTACGACGAATTTCGAGTGTCAGACTTTTAATATTTGGAGGACGTGAAAGTTTGATACATACTCTGCTGCGAGGCAGTGTGGAGAGACGACAAGAGCCGGAGAAGGGATGAGGATTTTGACGATGACTGTTGGGAAAAAAATGTTGAGTTGAGAACTTGTTGAGCTTTAGTTATGAGTTGGCGAGTGTCTCTCGGCTCGACGCACTTCTGCCGCTCTCGGTTTTACCTCCGCCCCCTGAATGACGTCATTGGAGGAAACAGCTGGTCAGAGGTTTGGGTTTGGTTTGGCGCGCTATACCTGTTGTAGTTTTTCGGAAGTTAGAGGATTGTGCTCAGTCCATGAATTGGATTTTAATTGCGACACGCGTTGTCATCCACGATTTGTAATCATAGATGAATTTTATCATCTTGAAATAATGAAATGGCATGCCGTTAACTGGATAATTTTGTAACTTGTTGTATGTTTGCTCTTTAAAAAATGCTAAATTATGCTATAAGAATTCCAACTATTACCCATGAATTGTACACCATTGTCATTTCAAATGATGTTGTCATATAAGTTGAACTAATGGGGTTAAGGCGGCTATGTCATATTTTTGGACTATTATTCTCATTCAATGCTTTGTTTTCATCAATTAACAATTAATCTACTGATTATTGACTGTTTAAGTTGACGTGACTTTGTTAGGAGAAAAATCAAAAGCTAATTGAACTACTGAATAATTACTATTACTAATTGAATACTCTTTGAGTATTTAAAACGATTTGGGTTAAACCAATAAAAATCATGGAAGTGTAGTGAAAATAGTGAATCGTAAAGAAAATTTCCGATTGGCTTTGATGAAATTCACAAAAGCACGCTGGGATTTTGCAAACTAACTCTTTTTACCGTTTCACTATTGATTTGCTTTTTACAGCTAAAGGATTATAAGTCAGGTCGGATTATCATTAATTTTTTATGGATGAGTTAGTCTAATTTAGAATCATTTGTAATAATATAGTGTGAAAAAAGTTTTTATCTTATATTTTATTGAATCACACAAATTTATTCATTTTTTCTCATTAATCCTCCATTAAGTAAGCTTAAAAAATGTTCTGACCACAGCAGCTATAATTATCGGTAAGGAATACACGTTTTTCACCAAAGAGGGAGAAAGAAGAAGTGAAGGATAAAAATAACGAAGGACGGAGGGATAAAAGTGGCGACGACGGGAAGGTAAAAGTTGGTTGGGTTGAAGCAGCTGTTGGTTGGATGCCTTCGTGGACACTCGAATTAAGAGTTCAAACTTCCAGAAGGGAAAAAAATGTATCTACTAATATTTGGATCCGATTTATTGTCAGGGTGAAGGCGCCCATGTTTCGCACATATGGTTCTGAGTTAGACTAGAAGTATAGGAAAAACCTTTTCATTCCTCGTCATTAACAAGTTGTTAAATGAAATATAACGTTACAAACATGTATTTTCTATTTCTTCCATTTATGTTTTATAAGAGAGACAAAGGTTGATGATATCAGTTCGTACAACTTCTCTCTCGATTCCACTATTGTCTTCTTTGTCACCTCTGTCTTCTGTCCTTCCTGCAGATCCTGTTTTTCAAGAGATCTGTGTCCTTGTTAGTGCGTAACATACGTCGATTCTCACTCTTTGTAAATGCCACCGTATCAGAGCTTTTGCATCGTAGATAGGGAAAATTTTTTTAAATCATAATTCGATAATCGTTTGTTTATTCAGCTGATAACGGAAATTAAACAAACGATAAAATTATTGTTGTGATTCACGCTGTCCATCCGTAACAAATCTATCGTAGTCTATCGCAAATAATTTTTTTGAATTTCCCTCTGAAAATTATCCATTTTCAAAACATTCGTCTTAACACAGAAAAGTCAATCTACTCTACGGAGTGATATTTACGGTGAGATTTAATCTGCTGTAAATATCTCCTCAATGATCAATATGAAGTAAAAACACTACTATCGATTCCCCTTACTCGTCACTCTCTTCCTCCCCTCTCCCATTATTGTTAATGTACTACATTGTGCATAGGGACATCTATACAACTCTCGATTTTGACATTCTTTTGTTTCTACGCATGCTCTTTTCTGTATCGCAAGAGGATACCCGAGTGCTCCGTTTGCCTTTCTATTAAATTCCCTCTCTGTTTTTTGTACGAAATATAGTTGAATATATTGTACGAGGGAACGGCGAATGACATCCAACGACTCACGACCCTACTTTCCGCTAAATGACCTAGAAACCTACTTTGATTGGTATTAAAAGCGAAATCAACGGGTTACCTCACCTCACGCTTCCAATTTCCAGAAGACTGACTGTATCATTTACATTCATTAATGAGTTAACATTAAATCTTTGTAGTAAGGCAGTGATTCAATTGATTTTCCGTCTACCCTTCAATTTGTCTAATTCTCATTGTAAAGTTATTTATTTACAGCCGTTCTAATGTTACAATTTGAATGTATTCCTCTAATTGATGAAAAGAGATGAGGCGCGGATATGAGTTGTTGAGCGCTTATAACATTGTAAAAATATGCTCCATACTGTATTTACTGTATTTAAAAAAATTACATATGAGCATGAAATAAATGATTTTTTTTTAATGAAATAAAAAAAATAGTAAATAGAATTCCAATGGAAAATAAAAGCGGAAAAAGTGAAAAGCGATTATGCCAGATGTGTTTTAGAAAGTGGGGATAGAGAAGGGAGAGAATTGGTGATAGTACCAAGAGAAGTACACGAGAATCGCCGAGGATATACGAGTGTGGACGAGGTTGGAATCGATGTCGAGAGGCCAGGAGAATGGCTCGTGCTGTATGTATAGTTATGCCATTGATATTCGTGGTATATTGTGTTTGGAAAATGAACACTAGGCGGCCCCACCATCTTGGTCATAACATATGTATATCATTTTTTACGAGCAGAGCTCAAGGACTTTCTACAATCTTATACAAGTATATGCAAGACAAAATACAGGGCGAAAATCAAAGACTCCAGCGAAGAAAACACAAGAATGAAAGTGATCTGCTGCCAATAGGTCTTTTGGTTTCTTCTGAGTTTTGTTCAATATGATTCGATAAAAATCCAAGTAATTTAATCCTAATATAAACAAGGGTATAATTAAAAAAAATTGACATTCTTATTATAGAGGTCTACATACATGAGTATAGAATTTATAAGATTAGTAATTCGTTTTCTATTTGATTTCTTTGAATACAATGGATGCGCAGTTCCCTGGAATATGACACTGATATTTTCGAAACATTCTAACGAGCACGTGCAATGCGTAACATAAACGACCTTCAATGCCTCCATTCGATTAGGTACAGTTCCGGTATTTACATCATTTCATTACACTTTAATCGCATGAAAAAAAAACCAAGTTTGTAGAATTTTTTTCTGTTACTTAATGACTTATGGTAATTGACAAGATAGAATATGAAAATGGATAGAAATATGATTCTCCTAACAGTACTCTGAGACAAATAATTCATTCGTATGCTTACGAAGAAAATCATTATCTTATTGAAGTAATAATGACTGTAGGGTTGTGGGGGAAGCGTTGTTGGCTCATATATACACAAAACTCGACAAACCACGTAGTTATGTTCTACTGAGAGAATGGAAGTGGTAAACAGCCTTGTCAGGTCGACTTTCTATTACGTCAGGGACTGACTGCGGAGGATAAGGCCTTCAAAGCACTTGGTACCATAGACTACAGGAGGCCCAATCGTTGTGCCAAACACCTTGTCAATTTTTAGTCATGAGAACAACAGCTTTATTCTTTGCAAGTCATCTGGTTTTGTTACGTGGGTACTCTAGGATGAATATTATTGTTATTGGTGAAATTTATTGTGACTTATCCTGGGTGGAGTCATTGGTGTTTTCTGGTGGTTCAAGAGGTTGAAAGAGTTTTGCCATGCGTCCATGGCACTGTACCGTGCAAGTTCTCCGATGGACACATTACTTGTGGAGATGGTCAATAAAAGCTATAGATCCATGGTAGAAAAAATGCCATACGTCTAGGGTATTCAATCATACACCGTGTATGTAGACCCTACCGAAAGAATTCAATCTATCTACTTTGCTTCCAGTTACACAAATGATGTAAATGATGTAAATGATGTACTTCAATGAAGCCCGGAAGTAAA